CGACTTCAGAAGATAAAAGGGATGCAAAACGTGCTTTGGAAATGGGCGCGAAAGGGTTTTATGTAAAACCAGGTTCGTCTCCAAAGCTTCAGCAGATAATAGCTGAAATGTTTATCTCTCTTTAATATTCTTATAGCATAAAAATTAAATACAACTCACAACTATGAAAACTCAACCAGAAAATACGAAACCTGAAAAAGTAAAAGCCATTCTTGCAAAAAACGGTGTGTTGAACAAGGATAAACCAACTGCCGGTTTAGCAAAGACGGACGCTAATCCTAATAGCATTTTTGTCGTTGTAGGAATTCTTCTGGTAGCAACAATTATTTATTTAGCGATCAACAAATAGTTGTTTTTACGCCGCTGTTTTATTTTTCGATAAACGAAAATGAAACAAATCCTTTTAATCATACCTTTACGTCAATCAAAATACATGGTATGACAAAGTTTTCGCTTCTCCTCCTGGCTGTTTTGTTTTTCACAACAAACAAAGCACAACATTTAAAACCTGGTTATGACAAAAAAGAATTCATAGACATTCTTAAGATGGATTATCTCATTGCCTATGATACCGCTGAATGGAGACGTCCCAGTAATATCCCCGCCCTTGATCCAAAATACAAATTTGTTTACCGTTCCAAATTAATCGGACTTCAAAATATGTGGGACCTTTGGCTGAGCAATGAAGGTGTGGCTGTGATAAATATTCGCGGCACCGATATAAAGCCAAATCCTGTAAGCTGGCTTGTAAATTTTTATGCCGCTATGGTTCCCGCTAAAGGAAAATTAGAACTCGAAAAAGATTTTATTTTTGACTATCATTTAAGTAACGACGACAAAGCTGCTGTACATGTTGGATTCCTCATCTCCACAGGATACTTATCACGCGATATTTTACCAAAAATAGATTCTCTTTACAAAAAAGGAATTAAAGAATTTATTATTGCAGGACACAGCCAGGGTGGCGCCATAACTTTTTTATTGACTTCCTATCTGGAAGACATGAAAAAG